TGGAAATTTTTAGCCTAACAAATTCAGGTGTTATTAATGCATGTTCGATCTTCTCACATTTAGTTTAACCTATGTTGTAAGTCTGTTGGCATAGGCTAATCTATGCGGCGGTCATGTTGTGACAAATATTATTATGGTTGGATCACACGAATCACATACAGATGATAACACAGTAATACGTACCATCCTCGTCGATGTCTTCTCGTGCCATGGTCTGACGCATGAAGTTTTCTACGAGGTCAGCGAAGTGACCTCGGTGACTCAGAAGCTGGGCGAACGTCCCGGTCTCGGATATGGTGCCGTTGCTAAGTACGATTATTTTATCAGCGTCCTTTAGATAGTTCAAACCGTTCGTAACGAGTATTCTCGTCTAGTAGCATCGAGTCATGACCGGCAACATGGTATATTCAAGCTAACGGCTCACCTTTTCTTTCAAGAAGCCATTTTTGCCTATCACAGCCTCGAAAATATGCTTACATACGTGGCTGTCCACCGCCGAAAGAGGGTCGTCCAACAAGTAGATGTCGGCGTTCTGATAAAGAGCTCTAGCCATGCTGATTCTCTGCCTTTGGCCGCCACTGAGATTTATGCCCTGCATGATCAATCGCTTTGCATTGAATTTTCATTCACAGAGAGACGGGTTAAAGTCGAAACCTTCTCGCCTATTTCCGTCTGATCGCCGCCTGGAAGTAGTTCCAAATCTTTCTGTAGGGCACAGGCTCCAACGACTCTGTTGTACACGTCGGGGCGGTACTTCTTGCCAAAAAGAATGTTATTCCTCAAAGTGAGGTTCTGTATCCAAGCTTGTTGAGGAACATACGCTATCGAGCCCTGTGGAGGAAAATAAGTTTCAGGCCTTATATAACGCTACAGTTCGGAAATCCTGGCATACCGTAACACTAACACGACCATGCAGCTTTTCCATTTCGCCAAGGATGGCCGAAATGAGTGAGCTTTTCCCGCATCCGACGCTACCAACCACCGCTATAAATTCTCCGTTTCTTACCGAGAGGTTTATGTCCTTAAGCACAAAGACAGAATCGTTCTTCTCGTTTGGCTTCTGTTCCTTTTCCCATAAAAACGAACCTTTTTCAACTTTGATGCCCTTTTCTAAAATCAACCATTTTCACTAACTTGCAAAAAATTCACTGTTATTAATGTCTTAGCGCTAATTGCTACAGCTTCGATTTGATGTATTTTTTAATGACAGCTGACAGCTCACATGACGCTTCGATTTGCCTCCGCGGTGGTGGGATTTTGTGCAAATGCATGAACAGCCGAAGGAGAGAAATGCACTCGAGATGTCTACCGTAAAGTGTGTTTTCGCTAGCCACCGTGATTACCATTGAAACAATCCATAACATCTGACCAATCGACTGAATAAACCATGATAATTGAGGCTGACTGAAATTCCTCATTTCCTGGAGATGGATATGCCTAAAGAAGATTGCGCGGTCGCAAATCTGAAGAGAAGAAACGTATATTGTTACGTGCTCTCATCCTTTGAAATTATCGAAAGTCTACTGAGTTTGATTAGTATGCATGAACAATATATTACATCATATAGCTCGAGTATTGAACTGGCCATCCTCATATTGTTGTTTTTGTGCGCGTTCTCTTGGGTGGGCCCTGATGAGTATGAAGGACTGCCTAAAACCCTGAAGCCTCTGTGAGTACCTTTATCTTACGGGAAGCAATGAAAATGTCATCTGAGCAAAGTTTCTTGGATTTGGAGTGTACAAACTCAAGTCTGACATGCCGACTGTCTATGATACCATCTTCCATCGCGTAATCATCATATTGTTCCTACGTCCAAGTATGTCAAGAATCTCATAATTCTTTAAGGCTAAATTCAACGGAGCATTCATTACTAACCTTTGTTCTTAGTCACCTGGGCAGACCACGTAGGCAGGTCATGGCTCCATGGCATTTGAGCACCTGCAGTGCCAGATGCATTTCGTATCTTTTTTTCGGTACAGTCACCTCGAGCTAATTTCCAAAGAAGTCGCAGGAGATGGTACCCCTTGTTTACTGCCGGATTAACATCATACTCTCGTGTACAAACGACTTGATGTGCATTTGTTGCGTATAAGGAGTAATGGCTCCTTAAACATCATTGGTGATGATCGTGAGCAAAATGATGAAAGATACAGCTGGCATTGCCGGTGCACAAATACCAGGAATTCTGGGTTGTGAATAACACCCAATGGGCAATTATGAGCGAGCGAGCGCTGCTGTACGCCGTTAAGTCTGATATTGAAGGAGTTATGCACTCTCTGAGGCAATTATTTGCATCATCGTACTACCCAAATGTCCATATTGCTTTTGCTTTAACGTACGATATTTATGTACTTCTCAGTGTTAAATCGAAGTCGACGAAGTGACCCTGACTCTGAGAACTGCATCGTCTGTACGTGCGATTAGAATTTCCATACACCCTTCATAGCGAAGCGCAGTATGCTTGTGTAACCAGTGTTTAGAAGCCTGAGGTGAAACAAGCAAACATCACTTCAGCTTTTTAATCGAGTCGTCGTACTTATAGAAAAGAGGGAAGCGTTCGTTGTTTAAGTGCATATTTAAAAGTGCATATGTGAGTTTACAATGGATGGATGTGCGGAGTTTCTGTGAGTCAACATTATGTTTCTCTGTCATGTTATATGGTATGTCATCGCTTTCACCATGAACAGTTAGTCCGCGCCAGAGCAAACAGATGCGAGCAGGTGAAATTTTAATTTGGCATCTCCTGATTTATATCTTTTCAATTTTTGTAAATTTGGGGCAGTTTTAAAAACTATGATTTAAAGTCGATGATGTTTGCTATCTTTTCCAGTGATTCACTGCTCTCTGCACAGCGTAAGAGAAGTTTTCGAAAGAAGTGATATCACCAGTGTATGTTGAGGCAGTGATCATGCTGTCACTAGGCTCAAATCCCTTTCAGATTTCGTAAGTACTGGCTGAACTAAGTACTGATTCAAGAGCCGTTTTAAATAGCGAATTGGAGGTAAGTTCTTTATTTTTAGCACGCACTATCACAAGGACCTAGTCTGAACCCCATGCGCTGATTTTAATCCTGATCATACTTCCGGTGCTTATATCCTTGAAACTTCTAGGACTTTTTCTGGCAATACGGTATGCAATGGGGTACTGAAGAGGCATTAAGAAATCATGGGTTCCCATTGTGAAACCATAGCGAACGTGCGTAAAGTCTCTTATCAATGGAGAAAGTGTGCACATGCATTTAAAGTACAATCACGCTAAATTGGCTCTCACCAATTTATGACCAGCATCCCTGCTTCTCAAGGATACACCAATACCATAGAATGCACATCAGGCCGCATCTCTATGCTAAGCTATAGGCAACTGCATATTACGGTACTCATCAGCGCATCGATACTGTAGCTTGACAGCCTAATTATTGAAACTATTCGCATCCAGTACATCCACTTTAAAGTGTCGTGTCATATTACAATTTGGAGGTTTATTGCTCGTCAGATTTATATTTAATTTATTTTTCTTGCAGGCCCGGAGTAGGTTCATTTAACTAACTGCTTTATTCAAATGATCACCTGGACTTCTGTCGCGTTCTACAACCGTTGGATCCATCTCTTCTGCCGCCAGAAACTTCTTTAATCTTTCATTAGAAACGCTAGCCTAAATTCAAAGGTGCATAAATATCTACTACGAAATAAAGCTATAATATTCTTTTGCTATGTTAAAATAATCAGAAATAGCCGCCGTAGAATCTGGAAGTAATATTTCTCCTCTCTTCTGTGAGTAAATGAGAGAATAAAATGATTTCTTCGTTCTTTCAAAGAATGCCACATGATTATACCATGCAAAATGTTTAGCTATAACTCCTTCTTTCAAGTAAATCACATTTAAAAGAGTAGGAATTTTGTGAGAATCTGCAACTGCGGTTTCCACAGGCGAACACTTCATGATTTATGTGTGGCTCATACAGCTACAGTATCCGTTATGCTAAATGCACTCCAATGTACGCGATTCCAAAAATGGTTCCCACCACT